AATGACACTAAGCAAATTGTAGATAACAAAATTATTGTAAAAATAAAATAACTTTTACCTTCAACATGACTTTTAATATGCATCCAAGTTCAATTAGAGGGCTTAACACTTGCATAATTTTATAAACAAATAGCAAATGAAACTTTTATTTAGTTGTCTAAAACGTTTGAACTAATAAGTGAATATCTGCATTATGTAAATAAAAGAAATTAAGATCTTATCTATTTTTCTGTTCAATACGATCTAATAATGCACATCGAACACGCATCTATGGCATATTTGACAAGATTGATGGAACGACACTAAATAATTATAATAGAAGGAAAAAAATTCAAATATATTAACAAAAATTGGAAAAATATAAGTTGTACCTTTTGTTCTTGTTTATCAATGAAAGATAACTAATGGGATCACCCGAAAACCAGCTATGAATGCTAGAAGATACATTCACTATTCTTCCTTGAACGCCGCTCTTTTCTGCCGTTTCGATCATATTCTTCAGCAATAGTTTTGTCAACAAAAAATGACCTAATTTACATAAAAAAACAAATTTTGCAAAAATAATTAATATGTCGTATTTATGTTTCTATTTGGCAAATTTATAAATTGTTTACAAATTATTTATAAATAGCCAAACTTTATTTTCAGCTACACAACTCACAATTACTATTCACTTATCTACTACTTATTTCTATCTATTTATAAATTAAACTATTTGTAAATTCTTCCCAAATAGAGGCTTATACATGCCGGTTTATATATCTATATATTGGTAGGTTTTATAGGAAAGTTTACCTAGATAATTAGTGGCAAAAGTCATCTCGACTCCATCTTCAGATATGGCATGCCGGTGAGAGAATTTCCCGGCGTTGTTTCTGAATTAATCACGCAGAGAAAATGTTAAACATCTTAAACTATTAGAGAAGAGATATGATTGATTTTCTTTATATCAAAGACTTGAGCCTGTTATGTGGTAATTATGAGAATTGATTTTTTGACCATTAGAAATAAAGGTGGATCCCATATCTGAGTGAAAAACTGAAAAATGATAGCTGAAATAATGAAATAATGGTAAAAAATTCGTCTTTTGGGGGGTGAAAAATTGTTACCAAATGGGGACTTTATATATAACCCAATGGCAAATCAAGAAAAAAGATACATGAGCTGCATGCACAATTATAATAGCAAGAGAAAGTACTCACATGAGGAGATTGAGAGGCAGATTGAGAGACTGAAATTGAGCAGCAAATTTTCGTACTGAATGGAAAGAGCTAAGATCAAGAAACATAACAATAATTTCCGATTCCGGGGACTCCGACAAGATACGAGCCTTAGTATCGTCGGCCGCTTTCGTGCTCCGAGCCGGCAACACAAGCCGGGCTCCTCTCTTAGCGAGAACCCTAGCTGTCTCAGCCCCGATCCCAGAAGTGGCCCCTGTACATGCGAATTACTGTCAATTTATGAAGTAATTTTCGTTAAACTAAAATTTCTCGCTACATTAATAGAATTAATAATCAATTTGTACTTTTACCTGTAATAATGGCAGTAATGGAGTGAAGTTTCGGGCAGTGGCTGGTGACTTGATCGGCTGTGGACTTGGAGCCGAAACCACTTGGGCCGGCTACACCGATCAAGTATTTCACAGTGTCAAGCATCTCTTCAAAAATTTACGTGAATAGTAAAATTTTGTCCGTAGTCAGTTGCACACGAGTGAGCCAGAGAGAGAAAGTGGTACAAGTAAACTTTTGATTTTGTATAGGTTTTGCAGGAAGATACAGAGATACAGGGGCTGTATGTATCAACGGTTGGTGGTCTGGTTAAGAGGTAACGGAGGAAGAAAGTGGGATTTTTATAATGGTGAATGGTGGGGATTAGGGATTAGAGATTAGGGAATCCATTAAGATAGGATTACATCTTTGTCATTGATTGATAAATAATTTTTTTTTTATATGATTTCACTTTAATTATTTTACTATTCATTGATGGTTATATCTCAACTAATTAATTCACTTTTTTGCTTGCTATAACATGTCCAAACATGTTTGATGTCTAAGCTCTAGTCGACCATGACTTGATGAATTTTCGTTCGTTCGTTGATGATACTGAATTTAATTTATATAAAAACTTAAATTTCTATACAATTGAAAAATTTACCTTTTAGATATTGCATTTAAAATGCTTTCACGCATAGGGAGGACTTTTTTATTTTTAGCAAATGTCTACTGAATGATATTTTCATAAATAGACGATATAGAAATGATCTCTCGTCCATCGTGGGCGAGAGATATAATGTCCACCTACTAATGGGGTCCACGTTAGCAGGTTAAGCATTTTTCTTTCAAAAGTCATAAAATACAGCTTGATCACTGACATGACAATGTCAGGTCAGCGGTGAGCAATTGGTATTCTGGTCATCATGGACAGAATATCAGCTCTGATAGATGATAGATTCGTGTTGTACCATCTCATGTTGAATAAAATTTTAGTACTCGCGGTCAATTAAATAAGGTCAAAGTAGTTAACCAAAATACTATACTTAAATTTAATTAAAGAAATAAACTTTTTATCACGCGGCACCTGACTTTTTTACGAAACACACTAAATATTTCAAATCTTACCAACACAAGCAAATAAAGAAATTTCAAGACGATGATTTTCTACTTAATTGAAGTCACCACGATAGAAGTAAATTCCAATTTATATTATGTAAATCTTGGGACAAGGAATGATCGTTATGACATTAATTAATAGAGGGTCCTAAGGCACTCCAATAATATAATGTATTGAAAATGGAATCGCACGTGAGGGTGGAGACGAGTCAATCTTACGGCCTCGAATCTCTCAATTCTTGCCTTGATATATCGAACTTACTGGTCAATCATTCCCATTCAACACTTCTTTTTTATCCTTTAATTCCTAATTTAAGTCAAATAAATTGCAAAATAAGCTGTCAAAATAATGAATATATTGAAAACTAAAATATCCTAACTAAAATAAATGAGACAGTTGTTGTGTCATTGTTTCTATGGAGTCATGTCCAGTTACTATTTGTCATTTTTTTCTTAAACGTTATACTATTTTATTGACTTTCACACGCAACCATCATTTTCATTTATCTTTCTTTGCTCCGTCTTTTTTTATTTTTTCACACAACTATCCACACTCTTTACTCCACTTCCCCACACCCAAGAGTTCTTTTTTCTTCTCTATTTTAAGGATTTTCTAATCAAAAATTTATTTGTCTTTTTTCATTGAATTTACAATACAAAACGATATCGTTTCTCTACATTGAATGGCAAAATGACGTCATTTTATTCCATTAACATGATAAAAGGATTGAATATATCTCATATATAATTATGAAAAAATATTAATAAGTTAATTAATAATAATTAAATTTCAATCAATGTATGTTATATTCACTCATTACCTTAATGTTTAAGATGTAGTTTTTTTTTTTCCCATAAATGGAAAAAAATCAAGATAATGATTAAAATCAAGAATTCTAATCTTAAAGATTATCCTACTCAACTGCATCTAGATAGTATTTCATCCTATAAAAATTCAAATGTTAGAATATCGAACAAGAGATAATGGAATAAAGTATAATCTCAAAAAATTAAGCGAACCGAATTGTAACTATCATTTTACGCTAATGTATTTATAAACAAACCAAATGATTTAACAAATTAAAGGAAAAAAAAGAATTGCACGCAAAAATTTTAAAAAATATATTATAAAGTACTTTAATTAAATTGAAATAATTAAAATTAAAAATACAAATTATTTAATTAAAATTGAAAAAAAATTACATTTTGTCATAAAAAATTAAAAAGAATTTTAAATCGAACAAAAATTTATTTATAATATGAAGAAAAATAAATTTTAAAACAATTTTCAAAAAAAAATATAATAAAAAATTTAAACAGAAGAAAGTTACGAAAATTAAATAAATATTATATAAATATTACTTAATTAAAATAGAAAAAATTAAATTTTATCATAAAGATAAAAGAATTAAAAATAACTTTAAATCAAAAAAAATTTATTTATAATATGAACAAAACAAATTAAAAAAATAAAATTTAGAGTTTCTCTCAAAAAAAAAAAAAAAAAAAGGTTGAACCCCAACCTTAAGGGTCCCCTACCGCTCCTGCCCTGGAGTATCGCGAGGGAGGTAAATTGCAGGTTATGCCTCCAAGGGTATAGGGTGGAAGACTGCTTGTATACTTGCACTTACCCAAAAGTCAAATCCATATTTCAGGATTCGACCCCTTGACGCAGCAACCTCAAGTAAAGCTGGATTTCTCCACCTTCCCCTTTTACCACTTGGAGATGTGCCCTGGGGGCAAATTTAGAGTTTCTCTCCATCACCATCACACAGGTGATGGAGTGTGATGGAGAGAAACATGGAGAAATTCTCTCTTTTACTTTTTTCTTTTTGAATTTGTTTTGTTCATATTGTGAATAATTTTTTTCGATTAAATTTTTTTTTTAATTCTTTCCTCTTTATGATAAAATTTACTTTTTTCAATTTTAATTAAATATTCTTTATTTAATTTTCGTAACTTTCTTTTTTTTAAATTTATTATATATATTTTTTTTCAAAATTGTTTTAAAATTTCCTTTTCCTTCATATTATAAATAATTTTTTGTTCGATTTAAAATTCTTTCTAATTCTTTTCGTTTTATGATATAAATAATTATTTGTAAGTTCAAGTTTTATCAATATCTATATGAACTTCTATTTATCTTGTTCGGTGTACTTCTACTGAAACTTTGATAAAAAAATATTGGTATCCCCAACTCTAAAATTCACTAAGTAACAACAAAAACAAAACTCGACTAATTATCATCATATCTTTTCTACGCTATTATATACTCAATTACAATATTAAAAAAAGTGAGCGATTATTTATAAAGATGCTTCCTGGCTCTTTATTTTCTTACCTCAATGAGAAAGGTACCCATAAATATTAATTATTTATAAAGATGTTTTCAAGCGCTTTATTTTTCTTCAACTATGACTGTAAGTATAAATCATCGAATCAGAAAATAGAATTGAAATCGTTGGTTTGGTATATATTACGTGGACCCTTTTAATAGAAGAATTTTGAAATAACCCAAACTGGGTCATTTCAAAATTAATAATTTTAATTTTTTTTTCATAAATTATACTGACATATTAAAACTTAAACTCCTAAATAAAAAATAATCATTAAACATTAAATACAAATTGGTAATTTGATCGATTGTCTAATACCAAATACCAATAATTGATTGATTACCCTAATTCTTCACCTAATTGCTGTGAGTGTATATATATAAAAAATATTTTATCTTCAGCGGGAGAGGAATGCGGAATACTATTATTATCCAGTTATTTGGCTCCACTATTTGCAAAATTAAAATTCATTTTTTATCATTAGTGTTCTCCCCATCTGTCGTGTAGTGAAGAAAGTCAACAATTGTAGTTAATAACGGTCCAATAATTCATTAAAATTTGGATGAAAATTGCAACCAAACATGCTCGTATATACTCTCACATATGTCTCGTCACTCCTCGTCAAATTCACTTGCTTTGGAAAAAAAAAATTATAGCTAAAAAATAATTATCTCATGCATAAATTGTTGAAAATTAAAACGGATTGAGATAATATATATAACATGATATGTATTATATGATCGTAAACAAACAACAAAATAAAATGTAAATAATTAAGTGACATTGAATTGACTAGTATGAAAAAACAAATACAATAACTATGCCTACAAAATTATTTAATATTTCAGTAATATAATACTTGTGAAAAGAGTATAGTATTTATAGGAATGTATGCCAAATCCAAGAAATACCACAGAGATGGTAACACAATCAAAAATCATGTGAAATAAAGGAAAAAAAAAATATTTTTTCCAATAAAAACTCGTGAAAAGAAGGAGAAAAATATTTTCTCAAAAATTCAACCTAATTTGAGAAAAAAATCCAACAGTTTTCACTTTTACACAAATTTCGATATAGCAAACGAAGTTCAAAAATTTCTTTACCTGGAAAAACAAATCTGACTGCAATGAAAAATTTGAACTCTTCAACCAAAACTACACTTTCTCCAACACAAAAATACTTCCTCCTCTCTCTCTCTCTCTCTCGGTATCCAATACGGTTACATGAATCCAAACGATGGGTTCTCCAAAATTCACAATGCATTAGAAATTATCAAACAGTGTCGAAGCAAACCTTGCAGCAGTCAACTCCCAATGCTTTCATAGAAGACCACTGGTTAGTCTCAACACCTTCAAAAACGTTAAAAGCATGTGTAACCGAATTAGCATCCACATACATATCTCCAATGGGTCTATCCTTAACAGTTAAATACGATAGAATCCAAGTAATGGTGGCAAAGCATATAACCCATATCCTTCAAACTAGATTGAGTAGTATTCTTCAATATGAATCTCGAACCAAATCTCAGAAGTATAGTACCATGCTGAATCTCCACTACGGTACTAAATCTGTGCTAATTTTGCTTCACAAATTCTGCTCAATCTTTCAAGATGTATAATTGGAACCTCTTCCGCCTCTCCAATACAACACGAACATCCTTACGAATCATCAACACTCCACCTCCTCCAAAGAACTTGTATCCTTTTGAATTAAGATTACTTAATGAAATGATATTTTTCTTCAAGTTTGGAATATGTCGAACGCGATTAAGTGTTCTACATCAAAACTCACTCCTCATCAGGTTTGGATTTCGAGTCAAAAATTGTCAAAACATTTCCATCACTCAAATAAATCTCAACTATGTTGGTCTTGTTTGAAGTATTTGACTACTTTTCATGATTTGCAGTCAAATTACCTTTGTTCTGCAATTTGTCGCAATTCCCCTGAATGT